CTCATAAATAGCCTTATTTAGAAACTTGGTATCTTATAGCTCATAAGTATTTTGTGAACTGCAAAATAATAATTTTAGGAGGGCTATCTCAAAAACAAAGTATATCTTACTATTATGGTCGTCAATTGTACACACACACATATATATATCCACACATACAAATTCATATTGTTAGATTTATACACCACTTAATACAACTATGCTCATTCTGCAAAATGCCATCACATATAATTTTGTTTTCGCATTTAGAATCATTTTGTTTATTATATCTTAGCATGCTCTTCACAGAATAGTTAAAATATCCTTAATATTTTTTAAAATCTGTTTATTCTTTTCTAAACAACATGCATGACACTTTGTTTAGTTTTGCTTTCGGTTAAATTTTTCTATACTATGGAAACGGATAATTTATTACAATTAAGTAATAGATATTAAATGCTGAAATTTTCGTTATCTCAAACGGATGGAATTTTATGATAATTCATAAAGCCAAATTATACTAAACGTTTCTTTTATTACTCCGATAACTTTGCATACTTGCTTCACAACCATCCATTATTGATCTACAGACTCTATCAGACACTTTTTATGGGTTTTATCTATAAATTTATTATATAGATCGTATTTTTAATTATTATTTCCTATTCATGCTTTTTATACACTTTTAACAGCCCGATCCCATAGTCGACTACGGCCTTACGTTTTCTCTTTTTCTCTCACCTGAGGAGGGTGGCAAATCATCGCTGAGCTCCGCTTCCGGCGCCAACAGTTGTGTACATTGTTTGGTTAATGGTGGCAATGAGATCGAAGTGAATTCTGAAAATGTCTTTGAATTTGTTAAACGTTATACTTCATTCAAGATGTTTGACGCTATTAAGGAGCCACTACAGGTAGTTTTTTTGTCATGCTTATAATTTAGCTCTGCTAACTATTCTCTTTAATCACCGCGGAGTAAGCATTCACTAAGCTAATGGTTTTTAAGCTTGGCGTTTTCCCTATTTAATGGGATATCGGCTTAGAAATCAGGCTTTAAAGCCTCTTACTAAACATGACTGGATTCAAATAACTATCGGTCATCTTTTGGTATTCGTGTATCGATTTATTTTTATATCTCCATTGTTCACCTATATTACTTTTAAGAATTATGTACAAACAGCTTAAGCAATATTTATCCCAAACTAAATATGCTGAATGCGTTATTTTTTCTCAACATCTTATTTAGTATTTACATATGCAATATTGATGAAATTTAGGACATTTATTCTATTTACTTTTCATCCTGTTTTATTTTTAGCAAATGCGAGCAGGTGTATTCGATGTACTTCCAAGAAACGCTCTTGATGATCTTACGACCGAAGATCTTCGCTTATTGTTAAATGGGGTAGGAGAAATCAACGTCGATACATTAGTTAGTTATACAACATTTAACGATGAGACAGGGGGAGGTACGCAGCAAATGCAACCACAAGATTCTTCATCGGTTTCCAGTAAACAAATAAACAACAATGATCGTGTTGCTCGTCTTAAGCGCTGGTTCTGGAGCACTGTTCGTGCAATGGATATAAAACAGCGTCAAGATCTGGTAGGTTGTATACTTAATTAAGTCACCTGCTATCACAATCATAGTATTCTGCATAATAATAGCATTTTGTTAAATCGTGAAGAGACATACTCCATAGGCTATCAATATGCTTGTATAGGCACATTTTGGCTTTGTCAATTGCCTCGGCCCTGAATCATCACCTTAATTGCACAGTTGCATCACTGAATCCTGCTTAAAGGCATATACTCTGTTGCCTTTTCCATAACTTACCACAATATTTTGACTTTGCGTCACGATCTACTTGGGTTTTATGTTTAGATCACGTAAATATATTGATTTATGCAAATCTCAAGAACTATTAATTTGCATGAGAAACACCATTTTCAAGAACAATAAAAAGCTTAAGCATAACTATTTAAATTTTATTCCCATAATTTCGATTTGCATTACAAATTCTGACACATGAACCCGAGGTCTACCAACTCTAGTTTGGTAGATCATTTAATGATGTTTTACCTTCCATTTCGTTTGAAAAAGCGGTGTAAGAAGGATTTACTAAATACAATCATAACTAAAAGATAAATCTCCCTCAGTTTCCGGTGAAACGAATTTACAATTCCTTTTCGTTAGCCTTTTTAAAAACAGGTGGAAATGAGTTTGTTTCAATTCCATCTTTTATTTACCCTATTCCATACATCTAGTTTCTTTTTTGTTCAGTGTACATTCAATGCAAAAGACAATATTAATTCTTATACTTTGTCAATTTTCTCAAGCCCTATAAT